AAGTTTTGGAAATTGGTACTACTATGTACTAAATTTGGTACAATTTGAATTGAGGGTGAACCGATAGAGTTGGAATCCTGAAACTTGGATATAGGATCACTGTGGGGGTGTAGGATTGGGGTCTGTAGGAAGTTTTGGAAATTCATAGTACTGTGTACTAAATTTGGTACAATTAGAATGGGGGTGAACCGATAGAGTTGGAATCCTGAAACTTGGATTTAGGATCACTGTGAGGGTGTAGGATTGGGCTCTGTAGTTTTGGAAATTCGTACTACAGTGTACTAAATTTGGTACAAATTGAATTGGGGATAAACCGATGGAGTTGGAATCCTGAAACTTGGATTTAGGATCACTGTGGGGGTGTAGGATTGGGGTATGTAGGAAGTTTTGGAAATTGGTACTACTATGTACTTAATGTTGTAATCCTGAAACTTGGATTTAGGGTCACTGTGGGGTTGTAGGGTTAGGGTAAGTTGGAGGTTTTGGAAATTCATACTACTGTGTGCTAAATTTGGTACAATTAGAATTGGGGGTGAACCGATAGAGTTGGAATCCTGAAACTTGGATTTAGGATCACTGTGAAGTGTAGGTTTGGGTTAAGTAGGAAGTTTTGGAAATTCATACTACAGTGTACAGTCATTATGGGGGTGTAGGATCGGGGTATGCAGGAAGTTTTGTTGGAAGTAGAAGGGTACGAAAAGTACTAAAATGTACCAAATATGGTACCCTTTTTATTAGCGAACGGGAAGAGCTAGAATTCTGAAATTTGGAATGTTGGTCACTGATGGAAAGTTAGAATGATGTGCAAAGGGTTTTTGGAAATTCGACCTATAAGTGTACTAAAGGTACTAAACTTTACTGAATTTACTTCCTGTTGTATATATATTGAACATATATAGCATGAATCTTGACATATGAAATGGAATACTGGTTGGGAAGTAGTGTTGATGTACGGAAATAAGTACATTCGTACTTATGTGTATAAAAAGTGTAAAATGGTACTAAATTTCGTACTATTTACATTCAGTTGAGTGTGTAGAGATGGAATCTTGATAATCGGAATTAGCTTTAAAAAATCGTACTTATTTGTACGAAAAGTACTAAATGGTACTAAATTTGGTGGAAGTTGGATTTAGGTGAACAGACAGAGCTGAAGTCTTCAAATTGGGAATTAAAATGACTGTTGGAATGTAGGACTGAGGTAGATTATGAAATTCGTACTTATTGGTACGAAAGGTACTATATGGTACTAAATTTAGTACAATTTGGATTTTGCTTGAAAGGATAGAACTGAAAACCTGAAATTTGGAATTAAGATTTCTGTTGAAGATTGAGCTATAGAGACATCTTTGGAAACTCGTATTTATGTGTACGAAAAGTAATAAACGGCACTAGATGGATTTGGGTGAACGGAGAGAGCTGGAAACCCATAATTTGGACTAATGGTTGATGTTTGAATATAGAATTGAGATATGGAAGCATAGTACCTATGTGTACTAAATAGTACTATATTTCGTACAACTTGATTATGTGTGAACGGATAGAGCTGGACTCCCGAATTTTTTAATTAAAATTACTGTTGGAGTGTAAGATTGACATAGTTTAGGAAATTGTTAATTATAGAAACAAAAAGTACTAAATGGGTCCGGAAATCTTACAAATGTGTGAACGGATAGGGCTGTATTCTAAAATTTTGAATTAATATTACAGTTTGAGTGCAGAATTGAGATATGTCGGTAATTTTTTAAAATTCGTCATTATGTGTACTGAATGGTAAAAAAATTGGTACAATTTTGATTCGAGTTAACGGATAGAGATAGTAAACGTAAATTTGTAATTAAAATTGCAAGATTAAGGAAGTATTGGAATTTCGTACTTATGGATACGAGAAGACCTAATTGGTACTAAATATGGTACAATTCGTTTTGTGTGAGCGGGAATCCTAATATTTGGACTTAAAAATAATTTGGAACAATTTGGACTTTGGTGGAAGTAAGATTAGGATTGATGGATTGATGTAGTTTTAGAAATTCTTACCTATGAGTATGAGAATTACTAAATGGTACTAAATTTGAAACAATTTGGATTTGGTTGAATCTTGAGATTTGGAACTTAGATTACTGTTGAAGTGTAGTATTGAGCTATGGAGACAACTTTGGAAACTCGAATTTATGTGTACCAATAGTATAGAATAGAAAATTCACTAAACTTGGATAACGGAGAGAGCTGGAAACCTAAAATTTAGAATGTTGGTCATTGACAGAGAGTTAGAAAGAAGGACCAAAGGGTTTTTGGTACCAAATTTAGTGGAGGTGACGGTGTTCGAAAAGTTCTAAATGGAATTACATGTGGAACCTGTACGTTTTTGCTAAAGTGTGGATTTCGGAAAATAGTGCTTATGTGTATGAAGAGTAATTAATGGTAATAAACTTGATATTAAATGTAGGAATAGAGGTGGAATTCAGAACTATAGTACAACTAATTATACGGTATTCACCATTTCCATATGAAATATTTTTTAATTCCCTTTCCGCATACGAAGTAGCGGGTACTTTGCTAGTTTTTTATATGGGTGGATATTTCGATCACGCCAAACATACAAAATAATAGAGATGTCTCCAATTTACTCATAACGATATTTTTTTTATTTGTATATCCGTCATTATAAGGTGGAGTGTATATTACATTTGTGACAACTCGAAATATTCGATCATAATTAAATTCTATGTTGATATAGCCATGCCCGTTTATCTGATGAAATCACTTAGTAGAGGGTATTAGAAGATATATATAGCCCCCATATAACCACACGGTAAAATATTTCGTATTTTGGGAACGTTTAAGTTTGGAGGAAATATTACGAAGTGAAAAGTTTGGATGAGATCGGTTACTACCCTCGAGAGTCATCGTGTGCACCAGCCGGACAGACGGGCGGACGACTCCAAATTGTATGTAATGGATTTGGTCCAAAGAAACATGAAGTTTCAAACCAATATAGAAAACAAATAAGGAAAATAGTAAAGTCGGACTGGGCCGATTATATGATACCACTTTGGGTATATTCTACATATGTATCCTTACAATTGCAAGTCAATGTTCCCTCGAAGGAAATTACTCATGTGTGCTGCAACCTATGATGAATTTAATTTCATTTGGACAGATTTAGAGTCGTACCATGGGACAAATTTATGGAAAACGATTTATAGCAAAATGGATACACGCTATTCGGTACGCCGCACTGTTAAAAATTTAATTTCAATCAGACACCCGTTCGAAATACATATGGAAGCTATGACTGCATTTGGGCCAATTTCAACAAAACGCAATAACGTTATTCGTGTCTCAATTTGATTCGTTGTGCAACATTTCATGTTAATCGGACAAACATTAGTAGTTTTGTGCACCATTTAAGTAAAATCGGACATAGTTTCAATTCAGTACGCTTTGCCATATAGGGACTTTGGTGCACTATTTACCTTAAATCGGACGAAAATATATATGGGAGGTATATCTAAATCTGAACCGATTTTCTCGAAATACTACTCATCAGTCTAGACTCAATTCATTACGCTATGCCAAATTTCGTGCACATCGAAAGATATATAGGTACTTTGGTGCACCATTTGCCTTAAATCGGATGAAAATAGATATGGGAGCTATATCTAAATCTGAACCGATTTTTACCAATTTCAAATAAATTTTTACCTTGGGCCAAATAAATGAGCTGTGCCAAATTTCATCCAATTCGAATCAAAAATGCGACCTGTATTTTTTTACAAATTAACATGGACAGTATCTTGAAGAGTTTTATGTGAGTTCCTGCCAATAGGCCTACCTCACAGTGGCTGAGCCACAGGCGGAAAAGCGCCCACCAACGCTCCAGCACCGAAGTACTGTACCAATTGGAGAGCATGCAGAAGGCACACTCTCCCCCTTGGTGAGGGTCGAAACCACAACCCCCGCGATGCTCCCCAGGGGGCCACACCAACTGTCAGGCTGGATCTACAGATCCAGGGGCACCTGACACCCGCGGTACGGAAAACCTCCGCTCAGGCTCGAGAACGAAGCCTCTTCCAGTTTGACGCACGTCCGTGCTGATATCCCAAAACAAAATATGCACGATAACCGCAGGTGGCAAGGAAAAACCTGGCCACAAGCAGTGACAAATACACAAAACACAAACAATTAACATGCTGTCCTCACGGACTGCACCAAGGGCCCCAACGGACCGCGGCGTCGGACATCACAACACAAACAATGAACAAAACTGCCCTCACGGACAGCCTACACTACATCCACAGGACGAGTGAAGCACACGATGTGGACACCACGAACATGGACAGACAGAAAAAAGTCTAAAAAAAATTCTATAGAAAAAATTGATCCTCAGCTTAAGAGGTTTTTTTTTTGAAAAATTGCGATCCTCGCCTTTTGAGGATACTCATTCTATAGGAATAATTGGATTTCACAGTTTATTTCGACCTTAATATCTCGGGATTATTTTTTATTGAAAAAATTTGCCTCAGAGCCCTTCTGAGGAATTTCAGTTTTTTATCCTTCGCATCTGAATTTTTTGTATAGAAAAAATTTCATATTTAGACCCTAAATAATTTTCCTATACAGAAATATTTTATTTTTCAGAATTTCTTCTATAGAATAAATTTGGTCCTTCCGGGGATTTTCTTTTTGACATTTTTTTTTTTAATTTAAAAATTCAGTTAATTAAAATTTCATTTGTATTTTCTTTCCAGAATCTAAGCACCAAATATCCAAAAACAACAATGGCTTCAATTAGGGAAATCGTTTGATGACCACATGAACTGATTACAAGTTCTACATAAATAACAAATTGTGATAAATCCCATTGGATCCAAAATTCAATAGCTCCTCGACAACCTTAAAACAATTACCAGACAACTACAAAAAACTGGCTAAATTTCTACAAAAAAACCTCTACAAAGTGTCTTGACTCCATCCATCGCCATCAGATAAATTCCACACACACATCCTCCCATCACCATGGATTTCGATCAAATCTTGGCTAAATGTGGCGATTTCAATCGCTATCAGCTCCTTATCCTGACTCTTTTTGGAGTCGTCAATGTCATTGTATCAATGCATTATTTTACCCAGACTGTGATAAGTTTTGTACCGGACCATTGGTGCTATCATGAGAAATTGGAGAATAAAACCTACGACGAGATAGCGGCGATTTATTCCAAATTCCCCAATCCCTCATGCACGAAGTTGGCTGATATTGATGGTATGAATGCCACGGCGAGCACGGAGCGATGTGATCGATGGATATATAAATATGATTTCGGATATCGAAGTATGAATACAGAGGTGAGTTTTGGAAATTTGAAATTTTAGATTTTTTATTATTTTTTTCTTCCTCTCTTTCTGTCTTTTAGTTAAACTGGGTCTGTGAGTCCTCGTACAAGGCCCGCATTGGCCAATCTTTGTTCTTCATAGGGTCCGTGGTGGGCACCTTGTTCTATGGTTTGTTGTCGGATAAAATTGGTCGCCTGCCAGCCTTGATTTTGTCCAATCTCTCCGGGTTTATTGGGGACTTCTCCACCATATTCACCACCAGTGTTACCACATTTACCCTGTGCCGATTTATCTCTGGCCTTGCGGCTGATACCAACTTCTATCTCATGTATATTATAGGTAAGTCCAATAAAATTTTATTTCGGGAAACGAAATTGATTTTTAAATTTCTTCCCCTTTACAGTTTTAGAATACCTACGCCCATCGATGCGCACATTTGGCCTTAACATAGCCGTGGGAATTTTCTATACCCTGGGCTTGGTATTCACACCCTGGTTGGCTGTCTTGGCCGGTCATTGGCAATACTACTTGGCCAGTACTTCTATACCCATCCTATCGATTGCCTTCTATTATTTTATAGTTCAGGAAAGTGCCCAATGGCTGGTGACCCGCAATGATGTTGATGGTGCCATCAAAAGACTGAAACGTGTTGCCCGCTTTAATGGTCGTAAAGTTAGTGTTACCGAATTTGAAGAATTCCGTAAATACTGTGAAAAACAGCATCAGAAACAGGGTGGTGATGATCAGAAACATTCAAATTTGATTGATATGTTCCGCACGCCGAGGATGAGGAAGCATACGTTGATCCTGTTCTTTAAATCGTAAGTAAAAAAATCAGAGAACAGATTTTTTTCCTATAGGAAAAAGTGCACCGAAGCTCAGAACAATTTTTTTCTATAAAAAAAATTGTCAAAGGCTTTGGACCAAGAAAAAAATTCTGAAAGGCTAAGGACCGCTTTTTTCTATAGAAAAAAATGCTATGATACAGAGGCCGTTTTTTCTATAGAAAAAAAAATTGTCCTCAGCTTCTGAGGACTTTTTTTCTATAGAAAAAAATTTGGTCCTCAGCTTCTGAGGACTTTTTTTCTATAGAAAAAAATTTGGTCCTCAGCTTCTGAGGACTTTTTTTCTATAGAAAAAAATTTGGTCCTCAGCTTCTGAGGACTTTTTTTCTATAGAAAAAAATTTGGTCCTCAGCTTCTGAGGACTTTTTTTCTATAGAAAAAAATTTGGTCCTCAGCTTCTGAGGACTTTTTTTCTATAGAAAAAAATTTGGTCCTCAGCTTCTGAGGACTTTTTTTCTATAGAAAAAAATTTGGTCCTCAGCTTCTGAGGACTTTTTTTCTATAGAAAAAAATTTGGTCCTCAGCTTCTGAGGACTTTTTTTCTATAGAAAAAAATTTGGTCCTCATCTTCTTAGGACTTTTTTTCTATAGAAAAAAAGGTTGGTCCTCAGCTTCTGAGGACTTTTTTTCTATAGAAAAAAATTTGGTCCTCAGCTTCTGAGGACTTTTTTTCTATAGAAAAAAATTTGGTCCTCAGCTTCTGAGGACTTTTTTTCTATAGAAAAAAATTTGGTCCTCAGCGTCTGAGGACTTTTTTTCTATAGAAAAAAATTTGGTCCTCAGCTTCTGAGGACTTTTTTTCTATAGAAAAAAATTTGGTCCTCAGCTTCTGAGGCTTTTTTTCTATAGAAAAACATTTGGTCCTCAGCTTATTAGGATTTCTTTTCTATAGAAAAAATTCGGACCTCAGCTTATGAGGACTTCTTTTCTAAAGAAAAAAATTTGGTCCTCAGCTTCTGAGAACTTTTTTTCTATAGAAAAAAATTTTGTCCTCTGCTACTGAAGACTTTTTTCCTATAGAAAAAAATTTGGTCCTCAGCTTCTGAGGACTTTTTTCTATAGAAAAAAATTTGGTCCTCAGCTTCTGAGGACTTTTTTCTATAGAAAAAATTTGGTCCTCAGCTTCTGAGGACTTTTTTCTATAGAAAAAAATATGGTCCTCAGCTTCTGAGGACTTTTTTTCTATAGAAAAAAATTTGGTCCTCAGCTTCTGAGGACTTTTTTTCTACAGAAAAAAATTTGGTCCTCAGCTTCTGAGGACTTTTTTTCTATAGAAAAAAATTTGGTCCTCAGCTTCTGAGGACTTTTTTTCTATAGAAAAAAAATTTGGTCCTCAGCTTCTGAGGACTTTTTTTCTATAGAAAAAAATGTGGTCCTCTGCTACTGAAGACTTTTTTCCTATAGAAAAAAATTTGGTCCTCAGCTTCTGAGAGACTTTTTTATATAGACACAAATTTGGTCCTCAGCTTCTGAGGACTTTTTTTCTATAGAAAAAAATTTGGTCCACAGCTTCTGAGGACTTTTTTTCAATAGAAAAAATTCGATTCTAAATTGCAGAAGATTTATTTCCTAACTTTTAAATAATTTTTCTCTTCTCCCCTTCCAGAATGGTCATCACGCTGTGCTATGATGTTGTCTCCCGCAACGTTGAGGGTATGGGCATATCACCCTTCATCATGTTCTCCCTAAGTGCTTTAGTGGTGCTACCCTCCAGTTTAATGTTGGTTCTGCTACAAGATCGTATTGGCCGTAAGGGTATGGCATCCGGTTCCTTACTTGTAGGTGGTTTCTTTACTGTAGCTGCTGGTATAGCTATAGCGTATCAAAAACAAAATCATAATGCCATATTATTGGCATGTCTGACAATAGCTGCACGTTTTGGTGTGGCCATCTCCTATGAATCGGGTTCACAATATGCCACAGAGTTGATACCAACATGTGTTCGAGGTCAGGGTGTGGCTGCGGTACATGTGGCCGGTTTTGCGGCCTCCTTTTTGGCACCTTACATTTTATGGTTGGGTACATTCTTTAAGGCGGCACCATCGATGATTTTGGGTGTGTTGTTCTTTTCCGGATCACTGGTGTGCCTCATGTTGCCAGAGACGTTGAATAAGTAAGTTTTTTAATCGGCGATTTTGAAATTGAAATTTTATTAATTATTCTTTATTTTTTTTTTTGTTCTATAGGACCCTCCCCAAAACCCTGGAGGAAGGTGAGGAATTCGGCAAAGGCGAAAGCATGTTCGATTTCCCTTGCTTATCGAAAAACAAAACGGAAGAAGATTCTGAGTCCGAAATGGAACCCTATAGTAAACGTAAGGAGTCCCTTACAGCCGGCCTGGAACATGGTAATGGTAATGTCCATCCTCTGCGCCAAGATTTAATTGACGACAATAGCAACAGCTGTACATAGAGATAGAAATTTAAGATATCACCACCAATCCCCATTAAAAAATCCAACTTCCATTTTCGTCTAAATCATTTCTCACTCGTCTAAATTTTTATAAGATTTTTTGCAAATAAGTATTTTTTATAACTAAAAGTAATGAAAATATTCAAATTAGTATTAGTCTCCTGTTAGGGTTAAGGACTATGAAAAAAAAGTATGCCTTTACTATAAATATTCGGAAACAATTACTTAAAATTTAAAATTATTAAAAAAAACACACACACAATTTTTTCTACTTAATATTAGTCTTAGAATTCCAATTAAACACAAAAACACACAAACATACATACATATAGTATAGCATAATATATAATTTATATAAATAATAAAAAAATAATTAATATTTTTTTAAAGACTTAGGTCTAAACCTTGTTTAGGGACTTATAACACTCAAAATGGCAACTAAAAACATAAAAAAACAAATTTAAATTTTCGGAAATTATTTTGTTGCTAATTCTACAGTGGAACATGGATATAATGAATAACTATATAAATATGAAATATAAGTTATATACTTACAAATAGAAAATGTTTATTCTAAAAAATTGAAAAATATTATACCCATCGATTTTATTATATCCCCGTTTCACTGTTGTAAGTATTTATATTATATTTTGTACCTAATTTTTCAAAATATTTTTGTTGTTATTTTTTTTTTGATTAAGTGTAAATATGATTCAAAAATATTTTTTTATTACTTTAAAAAAATCTTATATAGACTTTAGATGAATGTCTAAGAATATTTAAGTATTTTCTTTTCCTGCTTGTCTTTTGTTTTAAAATAATTATTATATATTTTTTTTAGAAATATTATTATTTAAAATAAATATACAAATTATAATTATATAAAAAAATATTGTTTTCATTGAAGATATTTTTCAATCTTTAGAAAAATAGAAAATATTTTTCCGAGGCTCTGTAAGGCGTGGATTTTTTGAAGGATATTTTTCCAATGCTCCATTAGGCATGGATTTTTTTAAAGAATATTTTTCCAAGGCTCTCTCAAAGGTGTGGATTTTTTAAAGAATATTTTTTCAAGGCTACAATAAGGCGTGGATTTTTTAAAGAATATTTTTTCAAGGCTACAATAAGGCGTGGATTTTTTTAAGAATATTTTTTGAAGTCTCCCTTAGGCGTGGATTTTTTAAAGAATATTTTTTGAAGTCTCCCTTAGGCGTGGATTTTTTAAAGAATATTTTTTGAAGTCTCCCTTAGGCGTGGATTTTTTAAAGAATATTTTTTGAAGTCTCCCTTAGGCGTGGATTTTTTAAAGAATATTTTTTTAAGTCTCCCTTAGGCGTGGATTTTTCAAAGAATATTTTTTGAAGTCTACTTAAGGCGTGGATTTTTAAAAGAATATTTTTTGAAGTCTACTTGAGGAGTGGATTTTTAAAAGAATATTTTTTGAAGTCTACTTGAGGCGTGGATTTTTCAAAGAATATTTTTTGAAGTCTACATGAGGCGTGGATTTTTCAAAGAATATTTTTTGAAGTCTACTTGAGGCGTGGATTTTTCAAAGAATATTTTTTGAAGTCTACTTGAGGCGTGGATTTTTCAAAGAATACTTTTTGAAGTCTACTTGAGGCGTGGATTTTTCAAAGATTATTTTTTGAAGTCTACTTGAGGCGTGGATTTTTCAAAGGATATTTTTTAAGTCTCCCTTAGACGTGGATTTTTCAAAGAATATTTTTTGAAGTCAACTTGAGGCGTGGATTTTTCAAAGAATATTTTTTGAAGTCTACTTGAGGCGTGGATTTTTTAAAGAATATTTTTTCAAGGCTACAAAAAGGCGTGGATTTTTTAAAGAATATTTTTTCAAGGCTACAATAAGGCGTGGATTTTTTAAAGAATATTTTTTCAAGGCTACAATAAGGCGTGGATTTTTTGAAGAATATTTTTTCAAGACTCTCTACAATAAGGCGTGGATTTTTTAAAGAATATTTTTTCAAGGCTCTCTACAATTAGGCGAGGATTTTTTTAAGGAATATTTTTTCGAGGCTCTCTACAATAAGGCGTGGATTTTTTTAAAGAATATTTTTTCAAGGCTCTCTACAATAAGGCGTGGATTTTTTAAAGAATATTTTTTCAAGGCTCTCTACAATAAGGCGTGGATTTTTTAAAGAATATTTTTTCAAGGCTCTCTACAATAAGGCGTGGATTTTTTGAACGAATATTTTTTCAAGGCTACAATAAGGCTTGGATTTTTTAAACGAATATTTTTTCAAGGCTACAATAAGGCGTGGATTTTTTAAACGAATATTTTTTCAAGGCTACAATAAGGCGTGGATTTTTTAAAGAATATTTTTTCAAGGCTACAATAAGGCGTGGATTTTTTAAAGAATATTTTTTCAAGGCTACAATAAGGCGTGGATTTTTTAAAGAATATTTTTTCAAGGCTACAATAAGGCGTGGATTTTTTAAACGAATATTTTTTCAAGGCTACAATAAGGCGTGGATTTTTTAAACGAATATTTTTTCAAGGCTACAATAAGGCGTGGATTTTTTGAACGAATATTTTTTCAAGGCTACAATAAGGCTTGGATTTTTTAAACGAATATTTTTTCAAGGCTACAATAAGGCGTGGATTTTTTAAACGAATATTTTTTCAAGGCTACAATAAGGCGTGGATTTTTTAAACGAATATTTTTTCAAGGCTACAATAAGGCGTGGATTTTTTGAACGAATATTTTTTCAAGGCTACAATAAGGCTTGGATTTTTTAAACGAATATTTTTTCAAGGCTACAATAAGGCGTGGATTTTTTAAACGAATATTTTTTCAAGGCTACAATAAGGCGTGGATTTTTTAAACGAATATTTTTTCAAGGCTACAATAAGGCGTGGATTTTTTAAAGAATATTTTTTCAAGGCTACAATAAGGCGTGGATTTTTTAAAGAATATTTTTTCAAGGCTACAATAAGGCGTGGATTTTTTAAAGAATATTTTTTCAAGGCTACAATAAGGCGTGGATTTTTTAAAGAATATTTTTTCAAGGCTACAATAAGGCGTGGATTTTTTAAAGAATATTTTTTCAAGGCTACAATAAGGCGTGGATTTTTTAAAGAATATTTTTTCAAGGCTACAATAAGGCGTGGATTTTTTAAAGAATATTTTTTCAAGGTTACAATAAGGCGTGGATTTTTTAAAGAATATTGTTTCAAGGCTACAATAAGGCGTGGATTTTTTAAAGAATATTTTTTCAAGGCTACAATAAGGCGTGGATTTTTTAAAGAATATTTTTTCAAGGCTACAATAAGGCGTGGATTTTTTAAAGAATATTTTTTCGAGGCTCTCTACAATAAGGCGAGGATTTTTTAAAGAATATTTTTTCAAGGCTATCATCAAAGGCGTGGATTTTTTAAAGAATATTTTTGCAAGGCTATCATCAAAGGCGTGGATTTTTTAAAGAATATTTTTGCAAGGCTATCATCAAAGGCGTGGATTTTTTAAAGAATATTTATTCGAGGCTCTCTACAATAAGGCGAGGATTTTTTAAAAAATATTTTTTCGAGGCTCTCTACAATAAGGCGAGGATTTTTTAAAGAATATTTATTCGAGGCTCTCTACAATAAGGCGAGGATTTTTTAAAAAATATTTTTTCGAGGCTCTCTACAATAAGGCGAGGATTTTTTAAAAAATATTTTTTCGAGGCTCTCTACAATAAGGCGAGGATTTTTTAAAAAATATTTTTTCGAGGCTCTCTACAATAAGGCGAGGATTTTTTAAAAAATATTTTTTCGAGGCTCTCTACAATAAGGCGAGGATTTTTTAAAAAATATTTTTTCGAGGCTCTCTACAATAAGGCGAGGATTTTTTAAAAAATATTTTTTCGAGGCTCTCTACAATAAGGCGAGGATTTTTTAAAGAATAGTTTTTAAAGTCTTCCGTAGGCGTGGATTTTTTTAAGACTCCTTGAGGCGCGGATTTTTCAAAAATATATTTTTTGAAGTCTCCTTGCGGCGTGGATTTTTCAAAGAATATTTTTTGAAGTCTACTTGAGGCGTGGATGGAATATATTTTGAGGTCTACTTGAGGCGTGGATGGAATATTTTTCGAAGTCTACCTGAGGCGTGAATGAATATTTTTTGAAGTCTACTTGAGGCATGGATTTTTAAAAGAATATTTTTTGAAGTCTCCCGCGTAATTTTCTTTTTATACCCTTCGCCACACTCTGGCACAGGGTATTATGTCTTTATGCATATGTTTGTAACAGGCAAAAGGAATCGAGATAGACCCATGGTTCCTTTTGAGAATATGCATAGAATCACATTCTGAGTCGATTTATGCATGTCCGTCTGTCCATGTATTTTTGTGAGCAAAGTACAGGTCGCATTTATTATCCGAATTGGAAGAAATTTGGCACAGCCCATTGGTTTGGCCCAAGGACCCTATTGAAATTGGAGAAAATTTGTTTAGATTTAGATATAGCTCCCATATATAGTTTCGTCCGATTTTAGGTAAATGGTGCACCAAAGTCCCTGAAAATCATTAGATTTGCACGAATTTTGGCATTATGTCGATTTGGCAATTAAGTCTAGAATGACGTGTTCTAAGTTTCGTTAAAATCGGTTCAGATTTAGATATAGCTCCCATATATATTTTCGTCCGATTTAATGTACATGGTGCACCAAAGTCCCTATATATCTTTCGATTTGCACGAAATTTGGCATATCGTACTAAAGAAAGTCTATAACAATGTGTGTTAAATTTCGTAAAAATCGGTTCAGATTTAGATATAGCTCCCATATATATTTTTGTCCGATTTTATGTACATGGTGCACCAACGTCCCTATATATCTTTCGATTTGCACGAAATTTGGCAGATCGTACTAAAGAAAGTGTATAACAATGTGTGTTAAATTTCGTAAAAATCGTTTCAGATTTAGATATAGCTCCCATATATATTTTCGTCCGATTTAATGTACATGGTGCACCAACGTCCCTATATATCCTCCGATATACACGAAATTTGGCACATGTTAATGGTGCACAAAAGTCCCTTTATAACTTTCGATTTGCACGAAATTTGGCATAGCGTACTGAATGAAGTCTAGAGTAATGTGTGTTAAGTTTCGTGAAAATCGGTTCAGATTTAGATATAGCTCCCATATATATTTTCTTCCGATTTTACGTAAATGGTGCACCAAAGTCCCTATATATCCTCCGATATGCACGAAATTTGGCATAAAGTACTGAATTGAGTCTAGAATAGTGTGTTGTAAGTTTCTGAAAAATCGGTTCAGATTTCGATATAGCTCTCACATATACATTCGTCCGATTTTACATACGAAACTCCTAATGTTTGTCCCATTAACACGAAATTTTGCACAACGTATCAAATTGAGATTTGAATGACGTTATTTCGTTTTGTTGAAATTGGTGCAGATGCAGCCATAGCTTCCGTATGTATTTGAACGGGTGTATGGTGCGTGGATCAATTTTGCTATAAATCGTTTTCCATTAATTTGTCCCATGCTACGCAGACGACTCTAAATCTGCACGAATGAAATTAAATTTATCATAAGTTTTCATAGGTGGTGAAGGGTATCACATATTCGGTTTTCAATAGTCTTTAATTTTCCATTCCATTTTCCTCTTTAGAAAAAATACACCTTATTTATAATTTAATTAAACTATTTCCATTTTATTATTTATTAATAATTTCCCTACACTATATTTACAATTAAAAAAACCAAACACATTTCTAAGAGCTTGTACTTAATTTCCGTTGAGTATTTTGATTGTCGTCAGTGTCTTCCTTGCCCTGGCCTCTACTGCCACAGCATGGGAAGAAATACCATTTTTCACCGATGCCAAAGACCTCACCATCACTGAGAGTGTCTGGCAGTTTTCTGAAAAAAATACAAAATTAATAAAAAAAATCAAATCCGAATTAGTAATTCTTCAAATTCTTACTTATTCAATGTTTCCGGTAAAAAGAGGCACAATATCGACCCGGCCAACATAATAATACTAATGAAAATCGATGGCAGAGGACGATAATAATTGGCCAAATACAGAACATAAGCATTAAGGAAACTGCAAGCATAACCAATTACGTGGATATTAGCCACACCACGTCCACGAACACTTGTCGGTATTATCTCTGTGCAATATTGTGCCTCAGCATCATAAGCCACCACGGCACCATAACGTCCCAATCCAACCATAATTGCCAACAATGTGGCATTAGCTTTCGGATCCATATAGGCCACCAAGAAACCAGTAATTGCTGTTATAATACCACCCAATAGCAACGATATACTGGCCATACCCTTACGGCCGATGACATTTTGAAAAGCTATGATGGTCAGACCAGCTGGGATATAACATACTGACGTATACGAGAAGAGGTGCAAAGGTTCCGAACCCAAACCTTCCATGTTACGGGAGATAATATCAAATGACATGGTAATGATGACGCTGAAAGGGGAGAAGAAAAATGAATAATGAATTATTTTCGGGATTTAAAATTTTAAGTACGAGCGATAATGCTAATGGGGCTGAATTGAAGATTTCCTATAGAAATCATAATTCAGCCAGGCTGAATTGAAGATTTCCTATAGAAATCATAATTCAGCCAGGCTGAATTGAAGATTTCCTATAGAAATCATAATTCAGCCAGGCTGAATTGAAGATTTCCTATAGAAATCATAATTCAGCCAGGCTGAATTGAAGATTTCCTATAGAAATCATAATTCAGCCAGGCTGAATTGAAGATTTCCTATAGAAATCATAATTCAGCCAGGCTGAATTGAAGATTTCCTATAGAAATCATAATTCAGCCAGGCTGAATTAAAGATTTCCTATAGAAATCATAATTCAGCCAGGCTGAATTGAAGATTTCATATAGAAATCATAATTCAGCCAGGCTGAATTGAAGATTTCCTATAGAAATCATAATTCAGCCAGGCTGAATTGAAGATTTCCTATAGAAATCCTAATTCAGCCAGGCTGAATTGAAGATTTCCTATAGAAATCCTAATTCAGCCAGGCTGAATTGAAGATTTCCTATAGAAATCCTAATTCAGCCAGGCTGAATTGAAGATTTCCTATAGAAATCCTAATTCAGCCAGGCCGAATTGAAGATTTCCTATAGAAATCCTAATTCAGCCAGGCTGAATTGAAGATTTCCTATAGAAATCATAATTCAGCCAGGCTGAATTGAAGATTTCCTATAGAAATCATAATTCAGCCAGGCTGAATTGAAGATTTCCTATAGAAATCATAATTCAGCCAGGCTGAATTGAAGATTTCCTATAGAGCCAGGCTGAATTGAAGATTTCTTATTGAAATCATAATTCAGCATGGCTGAATTGGCGAAAGTTGAAGCTCTAGAAGCTGCAGACCCTTGAGTAAGTGACATACCTCTTTATTAACAAAATAATTGTGAATTTCCTTAGCCGCGGTGTTTTGAACATTCCCCAAAAGGTGTCGTTGTTGGTCAGTTTCTCTTCCTCTAGCTTAATTTTTTGCTTATAGTATTCGATAAACTCTTCGAAAACGCTATCCTCAACCTCACGACCATTAAATTTTGCTACTCGTTTGAGGCATTTCACAGCACTATCATATTTTTGGCGGGTCAATAACCAATTGGCGCTTTCACAGGTGAACAGGGGATAGATAAATACCAGAAGTACAGGGGTCGATGCTACCAGCAGATATTTACGCCATGTATGCACCCACATTGCACACCAGGGTGAGAACATTAGGCCAGCACAATAGAAGACAGCTGGAATAATATTCAGGCCAAAGGTACGTTTCTTTGGATTCAGGTATTCGAAAGCTAATAAGTAAATTACAGATTTGGTTACACAAGATTCAGACTAATAAGAAAATATTATTTATGACTTACCCAATATATACATGAGAACATAAAATGTATCTGTCGATAAACCGGATATAAAACGACACAACGAAAACATGGGTACGGTGTGCACAAACGACGTCAGAAAATCACCAATGCCACCAGATAAAGTACTCAGAATTATAGCTGGCAGACGACCAATTTTATCTGCTAGAAAGCCAAAAGTTATGGTACCGACAACAGCGCCAATGTAGTAGAATGATTGTCCAACGGCATTATTAAAAGCCTGGTCACAAACCCACCCTAGCTTTGAAGAGAACCATAAAGGAGGCATCATCAATATTGAGTTTTAAAACTGTAGCATACTTTAAGGCAAAACAAAAATCATTTAATGTTTGAGAAAATAATTTTAAAATGACAGTTTGTTGTATGTGGATTTCAGAAATGAAACTGAATTTAATGACGCAAGCTGAAATGAAGATTTCCTTTAGAAATGCTGAATTGAGGATTTCCTATATAAATAATAATTTAGTCAGGCTGAATTGAGGATTTCCTATATAAATCCGAATCCAGGCTGAATTGAAAATTTCCTATAGAAATCTTAATTCTGTCAGGCTGTATTAAAGATTTCCTATAGATATCCTAATTCAGAAAGGCTGAATTGAAGATTTTCTATAGAAATCCTAACTCAGCCAGGCTGAATTGAAGATTTCCTATCGAAATCCTAATTCAGCCAGCCTGAATTGAAGATTTCCTCTAGAAATCCTAATTCAGCCCGGCAGAATTGAAGATTTCCTAAAGAAATCCTAATTCAGCCAGGCTGAATAGAAGATTTCCTATAGAAATCCTAATTCAGCCAGGCTGAATTAAAGATTTCCTATAGAATTCCTAATTCAGCAAGGCAGAATTGAAGATTTCCTATAGAAATCCTAATTCAGCCAGGCAGAATTGAAGATTTCCTTTAGAAATCCTAATTCAGCCTGGCAGAATTGAAGATTTCCTAAAGAAATCCTAATTCAGCCAGGCTGAATAGAAGATTTCCTATAGAAATCCTAATTCAGCCAGGCAGAATTGAAGATTTCCTATAGAATTCCTAATTCAGCCAGGCAGAATTGAAGATTTCCTATAGAAATCCTAATTCAGCCAGGCAGAATTGAAGATTTCCTCTAGAAATCCTAATTCAGCCAGGCAGAATTGAAAATTTCCTATAGAAATCCTAATTCAGCCAGCCTGAAGTGAAGATTTCCTATAGAAATCCTAATTCAGCCAGCCTGAATTGAAGATTTCCTCTAGAAATCCTAATTCAGCCAGGCTGAATTGAAGATTTCCTATAGAAATCCTAATTCAGCCAGGCAGAATTGAAGATTTCCTAAAGAAATCCTAATTCAGCCAGGCCGAATTTTCCCGATAATTCACTGGATTTTTTGAAGATTCCATTGAGTCCTCATCTTTTGTAACTCACCTCCATTGTTATGCTCTCATATCCAACTTCATCCTTGAAAATCCACTGGCGACACAATAAACCCTGTGCGGCCACTGCAGTACCATTAGCATCCACACTTTCCAATAATGTGCAGTGAGGACTCGAAACATCCTCATAAATATTATGGATTTCGTCAAATGTCTTATTCCCTAATTCAGGATGATAACACCAATGTTCCGGGGTGAAACTTATCAATGTCTGTGAGAAATAATGCATCGAAGACAAGACATTCGTATAACCAAACAGCAACAGGACCACCCATTGGTATGGACCAAAATTGCCACATTTTTCAAGGACCCGATCAAAATCCATTGTGGTTCTAACTTTTTCTCCCGCACGTTCTCTTGACGCGACAAAATAAACTTCTATTAGAATTTCACCGTATTTCAGCGAATTTTAAATATTCCGACAAATGGTTCACATCTCCGTCAAATTCTAATTTCACAATGATCGCAATCTGATGCAGCGGGTTTTCTTAACAAAATCTCAAACCGTCTCTAATAAAATGGCTGGGCTGTAAATTGTCGCCGGATATCGTCAAAACTTTATGATCCATTTGCGGTTATCTTTCGCTTTAGTTACGCCAAGAGAATCGGGTTAATTATCGCGCACGCTTCTTCCTCCCATGGGGGATCGTTGTACGAACTTGGTCATGACGTTGGTCATTCTCGAAATTCTTAACCCAATACGGAATGTATTTCAAGTTCAGATAAGAATACGCAAAAAATTCTGATCAGACAGACTACTAACAAATAAACAAATGCTTCTCAAATATTTCTGTAGTTGTTATCACAGACGGCGCTATTTCCTGCAGTAGCATGTTCTGTGTCGGATGAAAGGTATTCCGAATTCGCCATATGATGCTTATGCCGATTTTTTATTTACTTTTTTCTTTACTGTTTTGTTAGGGATTATTAACTCAACATTTCTTTTGTTGTTAACTAAAAATAAAACTGCACAGTGGGACAATTATCAATTTGTCATGGCTGAATTGTGATTTCTATACGAAATCTTCAATTCAGCCTGGCTGAATGAGGATTTCTATAGGAAATCTTCAATTCAGCCTGGCTGAATGAGGATTTCTATAGGAAATCTTCAATTCAGCCTGGCTGAATGAGGATTTCTATAGGAAATCTTCAATTCAGCCTGGCTGAATGAGGATTTCTATAGGAAATCTTCAATTCAGCCTGGCTGAATTAGGATTTCTATAGGAAATCTTCAATTCAGCCTGGCTGAATTAGGATTTCTATAGAAAATCTTCAATTCAGCCTGGCTGAATTAGGATTTCTATAGGAAATCTTCAATTCAGCCTGGCTGAATTAGGATTTCTATAGGAAATCTTCAATTCAGCCTGGCTGAATTAGGATTTCTATAGGAAATCTTCAATTCAGCCAGGCTGAATTAGGATTTCTATAGGAAATCTTCAATTCAGCCTGGCTGAATTAGGATTTCTATAGGAAATCTTCAATTCAGCCTGGCTGAATTAGGATTTCTATAGGAAATCTTCAATTCAGCCTGGCTGAATTAGGATTTCTATAGGAAATCTTCAATTCAGCCTGGCTGAATTAGGATTTCTATAGGAAATCTTCAATTCAGCCTGGCTGAATTAGGATTTCTATAGGAAATCTTCAATTCAACCTGGCTGAATTAGGATTTCTACAGGAAATCTTCAATTCAGCCTGGCTGAATTAGGATTTCTATAGGAAATCTTCAATTCAACCTGGCTGAATTAGGATTTCTATAGGAAATCTTCAATTCAGCCTGGCTGAATTAGGATTTCTATAGGAAATCTTCAATTCAGCCTGGCTGAATTAGGATTTCTATAGGAAATCTTCAATTCAGCCTGGCTGAATTAGGATTTCTATAGGAAATCTTCAATTCAGCCTGGCTGAATTAGGATTTCTATAGGAAATCTTCAATTCAGCCTGGCTGAATTAGGATTTCTATAGGAAATCTTCAATTCAGCCTGGCTGAATTAGGATTTCTATAGGAAATCTTCAATTCAGCCTGGCTGAATTAGGATTTCTATAGGAAATCTTCAATTCAGCCTGGCTGAATTAGGATTTCTATAGGAAATCTTCAATTCAGCCTGGCTGAATTAGGATTTCTATAGGAAATCTTCAATTCAGCCTGGCTGAATTAGGATTTCTATAGGAAATCTTCAATTCAGCCTGGCTGAATTAGGATTTCTATAGGAAATCTTCAATTCAGCCTGGCTGAATTAGGATTTCTATGGGAAATATTTATTTTAGAAACCATGAAAAAAAAAATAATCTATTCCATTTCACCCACTGTGCATTGCCATATTCTATTAATGTTAACTTATTTTTATCGCACAAAGACATTGTGTTTTAAATTATCTTTAAAGATAACATTTAAATTAGTTTATAATATTTGAACAAATTGGCTGCAATTTTTATTGTTTATTTGTCACGGCCAAATATCGTAATTTGTATCAGGAGAGATTTATTGGAGACCACCGCTATAAAATGGGCGTGATTAGTGATGAAATGTTCAAAACAGTAGGTTATAATTGGTAGTATTTGCACACGAGTCTTATTATGTTTTTTTTTTTATTAAATTATTTGCAACAATGGCAAAAATTGTTTACCGTAAACAAAAAAGTATACGAGACCTGGCGACACCATAACCTAATTTAGATGAAATATTTTTTTCAAAATGTTACAAGATAATTTATTTCAAGAAGGACAACGCTATAAGATAAGTGTTGGATTTTATTTTATGATTTGAATGGCTTGTTTGGATTGATGACGTAAATAGAAAAAATCTAAGACAATTGATAGGAATTTTCCCATTTGAAGTTCAGGTGTACCTAGGTTGCTAGTATTAGGCAAAAAATATTTGGAT